GAGCCGGACACTCACCGCGTATATGTGGAAAAAACCTGCGTTAAGTGAAAGTTCAGCTCTGGCGAGGCACCGCATATACGGTAAAACGCGCTAAGTGAAACCGCATTAGGCGGGGTAATACTGTAATAATAATAATAATCTAATAATAATAATAATACAGGTAATAATAATAATTCATAGGTCTTGGTTGTGTTACTCACTTTTTATCTTTTATTCATTCTTGTATTTCTTTATTATTATTATAATTATTATTATTATTATTATTATTATTAATATTATTTTATTAATACAGTATTATTGTTATCATTATTTTTTATTTTGGTGTATCTTTTAATTAAAATTTTTATTTACTATGATTAATTATTATTATAATTATAATTGTTATTATAATTAGTATTACTATTACCTTTTCGCTCCCCAGGCCCCGATGTGGGCTAATCCCTGTTAAAAAAAAAAAAAAAAAGATGCTCCACAAAAAACTTCGGTTTTCAGAGCTTTTCCGTTTTCGGAATTTCGGATAAAGGGTTGTCAACCTGTACCAGTACGGGTATTTGCGTGACTCTCCCACCAAAAAAGACCAAACAGCTGGTACTCTCTCCCTCTGCCCTACCAAAAATTGCCCAGAGGCATCTTTCTTGTTTTTCTCTTCCAATTTCTCACTTTAACTGGTATTTTTTACTTCATATTGCCTACATCAGATAAACTACAGTAATTGAGGTTAGACACTGTTATAAATTTGATTATTGGGTACTGACAGGATGCCGTTAGAACCACCTGACCCTACCAACAGTGTTGCAAGTCAGACACAGCATTTTTTTTTTTACATTTTTGGTGTCTCCATTTCTGTTAATTTTTTTTTTCTGTGGGGTTTGCACAATAGTAAACTGTTTTACCTACAGTATTGTAAAACGATTTGGAAAAAGAAATACTTGGTAACTTAAAATTTTAAACGGAAAATCTTGAAACTGGCAACTGTGTGCTGAAGACGATGACAAGGAAAATGATTTTGATGGATTTTAATGAAAATATTCAGAAATATGGTATCGTAGTATTTATTCAAGTGAATTAGGATAGAATATTATTGTAATACAACAGTTTTTTAACTGAAAACCATTCGAAAAGCTATTACGGTAACATCTTTTGAATTACGAAAGAAAGCGAAAGTCATTGTTTTCGTCACGATTTTATCCCACTTTCCACTGTAATGCGTACTTCATTTCGGCAAAATATTACATTTCCTTATTTATTTCTGAGAATATATTCATTCAGGCACAGTTAAGGTAAAATATACTTGTGATGTAATATTTTAGTGAAAATATTTAGAAACACGGTATAGTAGTTTTCTTTTGTTTCAAATTTAATTAACAGAGATTGATGTTCCAAATTTAATGAACAAAAATTGATGTATCTATAAATAAACTTTTAAAAATGAATACGTTATGTTTTACATAGTCCTGTGCTACCATACCATGCATTTGGCTACTTTGGGCTTGCTATGATGATGCATGAGATCTGCCCTGGCAACTGTACCAACACTCACAGCTGGTGGTGCGTTGTTTCCATTGTTTACTGGCAGTAACTGGTAAATTTTTTTCAACCCAACGAAACTATTACCCGTGTAGAGGTCGACCCCCAATTTTTTGCCCAAAAATTTGGTCTTAAAAACTCGAACTACACACGGGTAAATGCGGTACTACACCATGTGATGTCCCTCATAACACCATCTGTGAGGGAATCACTTCATCATCAGGTCCTTCATAATACTATCTGTGAGGGAATTACTACACCACATCAGGCCCCTCATACACCATCTGTGAGGAAATTACTACATCATCAGGCCCCTCATAACACCAACTGTGAGCAAATTACTACACCACGTCAAGTCCCTCATAACACCACCTGTGAGGGAACTATTACTCCATGTGATGCCCCTAATAACGCCATCTGTGAGGGAGTTACTACACTACGTGTCTGCTGTTCAATACCTTAGCGCACAAGATCTACGTTACCTCCACAATAAACATTAATCTGTATGTTCACTGTATGTTCCTTTACCTTTCTCTAATGAAGGCTTTTGTTAAACCACCAATGTCAATGTATGTAATAAGTCATTTATGTCCAATTTATATTTTCAGCCTTCGGGCTGCAGAACTGTTTCAGAACTTTTTCAATAAACCGTTAATATTATTATTATTATTATTATTATTATTATTATTATTATTATTATTATTATTATTATTATTATTATTATTATTATTATTTGTCCACCTAAAACTGAAGAAAATAAGACCCTGGTTGTTGTTGTAGTAAAATTAATGTAAAAAATATATGTTTTAATTAATGTTATTTAATGTACTGTAGAAGTAACCACTGATATTAAAGAAAAACGTGAGACTGATAGCGGAACGCCAATGTATACGTGCGCATTCAAGGAAACAGTCATTTATCTTAAGAATATATACAAAAGATTTATTATTGTTTATTACTGAATATGTATTTGATTGAATTAACACTGCAATTCATTAATAATACGTAGAATATTAAAACACAAGAGGAGACAAGACGACATTGTTTTCGTGAGTGACGATGGTTCTACATTAGAAACTGAAGAAAATAAAACCCTGGTTGTAGCTATAGTGAACTTAATTTTAAAAAATTGAATACCTTTATGTATGTTTTAAGTACTGTAATGTTATTTAATGTTAATAAATGGAACGCTAGAAGTAACTAACCACTAATGGTAAAGAAATAAAGTGAGACGATTGGGAATGCCAACATATGAACAGTAAGTGCGTACATGAGAAAACATAACGTCATTTCTCTACATATGAATATGAAAGCAACACTTACTGTTTATATATGTTTTAAATAATATTTATGAATGTAAAACAAAAATTCTACTCACCAATGGTGGTAAAGTCTAAAATATAAGGACAGCCAATGAATATTGTGCAAGTTATTACTCAGATGACAAAGTCATCAGGTTTAACTCTGGCTGAAGCTGTAGCTTTCCCTAAAGCTGTTGCTGAAACTGTTACTGAACCTGAAGCTGATGTTGAAGCTGCTTATGATGCTGAATTTGATGGTTTAGGCCTTCGAATAATAAAGCTGTCGAAAGAACCTTGCACAGCTGCTTTCTTTTCCCATTATACATCTTCATGTAAAGGTTATTTGCATGTACAGTCAGTCCCCGACTTACAACGGAGTTGGGGACTGATGACCAGGTCGTAAGTCAAAAATGCGAAAATAATACATAGAAAATCTAAAATGGGTGTCTCTTTTTCTTCTCAGCACCACGAGAACTCTCACTTTTACGCTTGCCAACCATTTGAAAGGGAAATATAAACGAAAATTTTGTCAGTACACAGTGCGATCACTAATGTCGGGACTCGAAAATACGTAATTTGAAAAAAAAATTGTACTACTGCGGCAGTCGTATGTCCGGGCGGTCGTAAGTCGAGTAGGGCGTAAGTCGAGGAGTAGCTGTATTTAAATTTTAATGCTTTGTTCTGTTAATGGATCCACTTCAGAAAATATGTTCATTCCTTGCTCCATATAATATCCACAGACCTCTCACCTTTTTCATATCGTTTGAACACGTCTAGTTTCTCGGCGAAGCTTATACACTTTCTATTAGCTTTTGGAACAACACTTGAATAGGGATGCAAAAATGCTGTAAGAAACCTGATAAAGTTTTCTCCTGTTCCTGTTCAGATGCGTGAAAACAAAGGGACCGCCAAGCTCCGACTGTTGTTTGCTGGCGATGCGCTCTTTATTTTTTTTACAGTATTTTTTTTTATGATACATATCGGGATTTAGTTATTATTTATATGAAAATGTAATTTTATTTTATTTTTATTATATTTTGGTCTTAAATACGAATGAAATAAGGACGTAAATTGAATTGGGTACAGTACTAAATTAATTAGGGTCTTAAATATGAAAAGTTGCTGGTCGAACCGTTGTTATCGGAGGCTTTACTGTACAGTATATGAAAAGGTCAGACCTTCGAAGCATCTAATTATTGATTCACCTTACACTGCAATATTGGAGGACACATTACTGTCGTTATTCGAGGCTTTACTGTACTTGTATACTTAAACAAATTATTAATGAATAAACCAGGGTATATGCAGATGCATAATACTGTACACTACAATATTACTTATTAAGTGATGCAATAGTATTTATTAAATGATGATAAATACACGACTGTACTGCACTAATTTACTAAGTGTTGAAGACAGACATTGTGGTAAGCCAATCAGCTTTTTGCTCTTTGTAAACAAATGGACTCAGTTCATTGTGGGATTCTTTTTTCAGGAAAGCTGATTCTTTTAGGATAATATTTTGTCAATCTGGCATCAAATGATCCTAAATTATATGAGAATTTTGGTGAAAGTGTTTAAAGGAATATTGGGTGAGGGAGCCACCCACCCATGCTAACCCCTCTCCCCTCTGCCAGCTGCTCCCAGATAAACACTCGTCTTCCACATACAATATACTCCTACACTCATTTGTTCTTATTTTTATTGTTACAGTACCGTACAGTATACAGTTTTCTCTTTATTCATAAAACAAAAATCTGTGGTTACTTACATATAACACTTTACAGTAAATAACAATCATCTCGGTGACAACAGTTGTTGACAACCAGACTTACATGTCTGATTTTCAACCCAGAGAGTTCTGTTTCATATTTTTTTTAATTGTTGATATAATATTCTTTTAATAACCTTGTTATACACTTCAAGACCTTAGTTGTTGAAGTGCAGTAATAACATAACATAGCAACTGATTTTCTTTAAACAGTTCAGATAAGCAGTGTTATTTCCATACCCCCCGCCCCATACATTCGCTTTTCTCAGACTTTCGCATTTTTTGGACTGGGGTCTGCCCCTATTAGTCCTATTTATTGAGGTTCTACTTTACTATGTTGTTTTTCAATGCTATATATACTGTACTTGTTTTTAATTGACTTAATTTTCTTGCATTACCAGATGTGAAGAGTGTGAGAAAGGTTTTAGTAGTGCTTATGCATTGAAGAAACATCACATGCGATATCATGTGCTTCCTCGGTATAAGTGCAATGATTGTAAATGCACCTTCAAGAAACAGCAACATCTGCGCACACACTCCTATGTACACACAGGTCTCAAACCATACAAGTAAGTCAAAATTATATAAAAGACAGTACAGTCCATTACAATGCATTACACTGGGAACAGTGAGGGAGGGTGTGAGACAGTGGCAGCCTTCCTTCTGCTTTCCCACTGTAATAGTGTTTAAGATAAATAATTTGCAATAAGGCAAACTCCCATTTTTGTGCAAGTGTTAACCTTCTTTAGTTTTGGTATGACAAATAGATTATTCTAAAAAAAAAAATCATTATACTAGATCCCATTAGTCCTCATCATTATCATTTTTTATGGTCATTTTCATCTTGCACATAAAGAGTCGTGGCATTTGAACAAACAGTAAGTCACTTCGGTTTAGGACAGCTAAAGTGCGTGAGGTTATACTGTACTGCAGCCATGGGCAACCTTTCCTCAATGATGGGCTGCATTACAATTTAGGCTAACCCACCAAAATTTATATCTTTCCGAACCCAAAAGTAATGTTAACATTATATTAGCACGGACAGTGGAACAGTTAATTGTCACATCCACCTTACGATATTTTCAGTTTACAATCACAATCTTTTTTCCCATTTATGAAACAAATCCATCATAATATTTTTTAAGTAAAATGTTAATGTTTCTTGGCAGTTAACAGAAGATGAGTGAAGCAGTCTGTGAGTACTTTGATTTTTCCTACAGTTACAGCATTTTTCTTACTTACGAGACACATCCACCAGAATAATGTCAATGTTAATCTTGGTGCATGGGGAACTAAAATGAAACATCTATTTATTTAACAATACAGTGAAATCCCCATTAGCCGAAACAATTGGGGCAGAGCACTTCTGGAAAAATTCTCCATCCTTGGAAATATTTCCGGTTACTGGAAAAAACTTTCCGAGTGTGTAAGTTATGCATCTTGCACAGACAAACACTAGCCCAAATCCTCAGAAAGCTTCTTTGTGCTGGGGAGTTTTCCAAGAGTCTAAACTAAAAATCTATATGATATGGTTGTGAATGAAGCTGTGTGTTACAGCAAAGACCGGTATTTTCCACTCCCTTGGAGCTGTGGGAGGTTAGTGGGTCTTATGTAACTGACCTGACCTGACACAATGTCAGGTGGAGGTAGGGTGGGGTATTAGTGGTCTCATATTACTGACCTGATACAATGTCAGGGTCACCCATTGTTGGAAGGGGGATTAGTGGGTTTCGGGACCTGAAGATGTCTTGAATAAACATGAAAGCTAAAATACAGTACAGTATTTTTATACTTACACTTATCACAATGTATCCCTTCAACATTACGTTACATAAGATTTTAAAATGTAGAGTGAGAAAGCAGAAAGGTGTGTGTGATTAAAGAGATGGAGTGGAAAGGAGTGGTAACTTGCACCAGTGTTGCCAAGCGCTAAGCTCCTCAACAGCTGATCTTTTAATTCGCCACCACCACACAGTTAACCACCTCTAAATTTATGTCACACAATATGGGGGTGTGTGGGTGGTGTTAGGATGTCTGGGTGTGATGTGGTATTAATTAATAAATAAGCAATATTGTATCGTCAATGACAGTCATTTGATGAATAGTTGCATACTATAATTTTCACAACTATTCATCAAACTACTGTACTGTCATTAACAATACAATATTGTTTATTTATTATTCAGTATTTAATACCCCACCACCACATAGTAATAGTACTGTAGTAGTAGTTTATTGACAAAAGTATAAATACATGGTAAATATATACAAATAATTCAAAATACATTTGTCCTACAAAATATTTTAAATTAAAACATAACATGTAAGGGGCAATTTCAAACTTAACTACAGTTGTACCCCACTTAACGCGGTCAATAGAACCCAGAGGGTCCCGTGTTAAGTGAAATCCGCGTTAAGTGAACAACAGAACATATGGGATTAATTCCAATAGAAACCGGCCCGACCCCCAAACTCCACTTTTTGAAGACACATAACTATGTTGTAGTAAAAATAACATCTTAATTTTATGATGGTACATGCACACAATTAATACTTAAGAGAAATAGAGAAATACAGTCGCCAAGTTAATGTCCATTCAAATAATGGACTCAACTCCCTCCCCCTCTCACACTACACTGCCGGCTCTTCCCTCTCTGAGAAATTTTTGGGGGAAAACCACTAAATTTTAATAAATAATACCTCAAACTAAAGTTAGGATAATACAATTGACATTGCTGGATTCCTTGTAAGACCAGGAATATTTTGAATATAAATGTCATATATTTTGCACAAAAGATAACATAGTTACTCAGAAAATTTTTTTATCTAAAATTTGTATGTCTAATGCAAAATATATGATGTTTATATTCAAAATGATCACCAAATTATAAGAATTCCAGCAATGTAAATTATATTCTGGCCGGGTAATTTGTATGAATTTTATGAGCTAAAACAAATATCTTCAGTTAATAAAAAAAAAATAATCTTCAGGACACTATCTGTCAATCAAAGTACCCCACCTTGCCTTCCCCCCCTCTTCCAACCGCGCGGTCAGTCCCAACCCTCCCCCCCACCCCCCACCAATCATCCCTTCAAGAGAAGAGTGGGTGAAAAATTTAGATTTTAACATTTTGTATTAAATAATACCTCAGATTAAAGTTAGGATAATATAATTGACATTGCTGGATTCCTTGTAAGACCAGGAATATTTTGAATATAAACGTCATATATTTTGCACAAAAGATAACATTCTTACTCAGATTAAACATTTTATCTAAAAATTTTATGTCTAATGCAAAATATATGATGTTTATATTCAAAATGATCATCAAATTATAAGAATTCCAGCAATGTAAATTATATTCTGACCGGGTAATTTGTATGAATTTTATGAGCTAAAACAAATATCTTCAGTTAATAAAAAAAAAAATATTCTTCACAGGGTAACAGATGGTCGGTCGGTCCCTCCCTCCCCCCCACCCTCCACCAACCGTCCCAAGGAGATGTGTGGGAAAACCAGAATACTTAACTTTTTTGTAATAAATAATACCTCAAACTAAAGTTAGGATAATATAATTGACATTGCTGGATTCCTTGTAAGACCAGGAATATTTTGAATATAAATGTCATATATTTTGCACAAAAGATAACATAGTTACCCAGAGAAAAAATGATATCTAAAATTTGTATGTTTAATGCAAAATATATGATGTTTATATTCAAAATGATCACCAAATTATAAGAATTCCAGCAATGTAAATTATATTCTGGCCGGGTAATGTGTATGAATTTTATGAGCTAAAACAGGCAGTCAGGCAGGGTGGCGGGTGGGGCAAATCTAAAAATAGCGTCTCGAGCCGGACACTCACCGCGTATATGTGGAAAAAATCCGTGTTAAGTGAAAGTTCAGCTCTGGCGAGGCACCGCGTATATGATAAAACGCGTTAAGTGAAACCGCGTTAGGCGGGGTAATACTGTATAGATTCCTAGTACCTCATGTACATAATAACATAATTCAGACACATATACATTTTCATTTAAGAGTTCACTGATACTGAAGAAAGTCAGCATTTGATACCTTTCACGACAATGTTGCAGAGAGCATACAATCGATCAGCACATGTCGTTCACTTTGTACATGACTGTCGTCGCACTGACATAGTCTCAACTCTGCTGGTGTGCTACTCCACCTGCCTGTCTCTACTTTAAGGTTGTATGATATTAGTCTCAGCCTGGTGAATGACTCGCGCTGAAAATCAAGGATAATTTCTTTCTTAAGTATACCTCATGCACTATCATAAAAGGGTTCAGATCGGATATGTATGTTGCAAATTTTTTAGCGCCAGCTGACATCTCCGTTACCAGATTCGCTACTCTGCCTAATGGATTTGTGTTACAGTCTAAGGTAATTGCTCTCGCCATGAATCTAAATCCTGGTGTATTTGCTATCCTACATAAATCTTATACAAAATGAAGAGGTTGTTCCATGCCCATTATCTCATGCTTTGATTTCATAAACTTGCATTTCCTCTTTGCGATAATGACTTGCACTGGGGGAATACCTGACTCGATCCTGCACAGATTCATACTCGTGTTTTTCTTCACGCCTACAAAGCACTTCACCAGTTTATTATATTGTCTTTCCAATCCTTTCAAGTTATTGGTCAGCCACGACTCAGAAACGTACAATAATGATGACGTTACTACAGAATCAAATGCTTTTTTCTTGTATACAAATGGCATTTGTGTGTTGGCTGCAAAAAAAATGGAAAACTTATTGACTGTGGCTTCACTGGCTGTCTGGTGCAAAGACAGTACACTATCCATTTTTCCAGAGTCGGTGAACCAAGCCCCGAGGTACAAGTACCTGGAGGTATAGCTCACCTCAATTCCCTCTATCGTCATACAAAGTTTATCTCTTTCTTGGCCGTTAACCACAAAAAATTAGTTTTCTTTTCATTTAGCACCATTCCATAGTCTTTACTGTACAATATTGTAATACTGTACAATGCTGAGTTTCTTTTTACTAACAAGCATCACTACTCCTTCTCTGTGATGGCCTTCCTTTGATACATTCGTATCAACATTAATTCCGGGTACACTCAATTGGAAATATTTTTTTCGTTTCTAAGAGCCAAACTATGTCGAAATTGAGAACAAATTTCAAAATATTTGGCTCCTGAAGTTTATCCTCAAGTCCGGCAATGTTCCATGAACACAATTTTAACTTGTAAGCAGCGTCATGTTGTCTACTAGTTAGAAAAAACTAGGTGAATACCTGTCTATGATGACGGTTCCCCTCCGCAACACTCGATTCTTCCAATCATAGCATACTGTATATTCACTCCAATGTTTTCAGGTTTCTCCTTTTCTTCCCGTTCCCGCATCCGAAGACGTGCTGCCTCCATCCTCACGGCTGGGTGGACATCCTTCTTAATACAGTGGTCCCTCGGTTAACGAATGCCTCGGTTAACAAAATTTTGGTTAACAAATTACCTTCCATAAGAATATTCAATTCCGTTAACGAACAAAAATTTGGTTAACGAAATTCTTACGAAAATGTTTCGAC